ATATCTCCACCTTAAAGAAAAGTCACTTTGAATATGTCAAGATTAGAGATTTATTTTTTCTTCTGTGTCATTACCACAACTGGTATAACTCATCTAGATTGTCCTCTATTTGAAACAATACATCTCATTATGTTGTGGTCGGAATTTATCAAATGATAGCTGATCATATTAACCAAGTAAACCTTACGGCCTGGCAGTTAAATCCAAAAATGGTGCAAATTGTCATTACCAACACTGTCATTACCACCACAAAATGTGTTGGTAATGATGATCAGAAAGTAGCGACATTTTGTATAACTTTTGTATAAAATGGTTATACCCCTGCTCAATAGCACAATATCATTTGAAAAGCAGTATCTTTATAGCAATCAATGATATTGTAGATATCCATTTCCACCAACTTATTTTTAACAATGCAATTTACCATTACCCTGTCATTATGGGCACACAGTCATTAGCACAACCATGTACACATATTTAGACATTAAATATCACATTGTCTACTTCAAGTGTAAATCACTTGCTTGTTCTCAATATATCTAGTGTAAAGATTATAAATATAACAATTTCAACAAGGTAGGTGCAGGTATAAAAGCACAGCCAGCGCAGGCCCATATTTATGGATTAAGGAATTAAAATAATTGTTTCTTAATGTGTTCGTACCAAATCCTATAGACAGATCAACCAAATAATCAGAAAACCCATTGTGTTTGTCATTCAGTTTTAAAATGGAATGTTTTATGATGAGACGGTGTTAACATCTGTAGGTGTTTTGGGAAAACTGAGTAAAATCCATGTATTGTTGAATAAAATGGTCACAGCCAATACCAGTTTATGGTTCCTGACAAAATTAGAAAAGTGTTTGTTGATACGTTTTTTTCAAGAAATGTACACTACCGTTCAAAAGTTTATTTATTTCTCAGAACAAGAATAGACTGACGAGTTTCAGAAAAAAGTTGTTTCTGGCCATTTTGAGCCTGTAATCAAACCCACAATTGCTGATGCTCCAGATACTCAACTAGTCTCTAGGCCAGTTTTATTGCTTCATTAATCAGCACAACAGTTTTCAGCTGTGCTAACATAATTGCAAAAGGGTTTTCTAATGATCAATTAGCCTTTTAAAATGATAAACTTGGATTAGCAAACAACATGCCATTGGAGCACAGGACTGATGGTTGCTGATAATGGGCCTCTGTACACCTATGTAGATATTCCATAAAAAAATCTGCAGTTTCCAGCTACAATAGCCATTTAAAACATTAAACAATATCTACACTGTATTTCTGATCAATTTGATGTTATTTTAATGGTCAAAAAAATTGCTTTTCTTTCAAAAACAAGGACATTTCTAAGTGACCCCAAACTTTTGAACGGTAGTATAAATTTCTGGGATCATTCATTTCAGCTCATGAAACATGGGACCAACACTTTACATGTTGTGTTTATATTTTTGTTCAGTATACATGACAATGATATATCTGTTATACACAACACATTTCTATCTGAACGTTATGTTTTGTTGAACAGGCCACTGTTGCACGAGGCATCTGGCTGTAGTTACCCCGATGAGATTACTGGGCTGTATGACACCATCAACAATATGCTAGTGCTCACGTCACTGACCTACAGGGGGATGGGAAATAAGGTCAACGTAAAGAGAGACGAGGACGCACCTCTGAAGACCCAATCAGTCAATAGTCCACCGCTCGCTGCCACCAACATACCAATTCAAATCACAATTTATATCACATTTTTATGCATATATGATTTGAGCTATGTTATCTAGGCCTAAATGTTGTCAATGTAAAATAAACCATAGTGTTATCTGATGGTAAAGGGTTGCTATGTACTGCAAGTGCAATCCACCATAACATATCACCGTCGTTCAGTCTTTTTGTTGTTGTGGAATCGTTGTGTACCGTCCAGATGCTCACAAATAGAAAACAGGAAAAGCATGGCTATATGAACAAACGCCAGTCATTCCTCAGACAGACATGTACTCACAAGTCAAATCCAATAGAAGAAGCACACAGTGAGAGAAATGTAATTTCACAGGACATTTTATTTAGAACATCCTTTAGTTAGAGAAATAAAGCTGCATTTGTAGAAACGACAGAGCCATAGAGCCGATTACCCCACATAGCAAATAGAAATTAAAGCAGAGAGCGTTCTCTTCTCAGCTGAATCTTTTGAGTTATAGGCTGACATCACAGAGCTCTAAAAGCGTTTAAGTGCATTTTTAATTCGTAAAGCCTTCATGAAGAGTTTAGAAGTGCATAGCAACTCAACAGGGTATTTTTCATTACGCTATTTAATATTATCTACTCACTTTCCATCTCCTTCAAAAAGATGACTCGAAAAGGGTTAATCAATCTCCTTCCAAACCAAAAAGATACAGCTCTTTAGCATAGTTTAGCATCCTGAATTGCGGATGAAATGTTGCAAACACTTTACAACAGACAACACTAACCACTATTGTAAGCCGGAGACACAGACCAAAGGTACTACACACAATCAGATCATCGTTTTTCTGTTTAGATTTTTTTTTACACATGTCCACTGAAACAATGACAGATGACAGTGTTAACGTTGCGTCTCTACAGCAGCAGTGTTGTTAATTCTCTGACATTAAGTTGTGTTACGTGACAGAAATAATCATCTCTACAGTACATCACGATACGACTGCACCAACCCCAATAGTCAAATACAGAATCTAATTTAATCTCTCACACACACAAACAAAATGCGTGCAAACAGTCCACACACAGAACAGGCCCTGAAAACAAAAACTGTGTCTAGCGCAATGGAACCACAAAGAGAACCATCCAAAAATAGCCCCGCCCCTTTTGTTCAGTGAAAAAAAAAAGATTGCTTAATACAGTAATGTTTGAGGCGATCTTTTACAAAAATATACAGTAGCTATGATACAAGTTAAAACTGTTAATACATCTGACGGCGCTGCATTAAAAATATCACCTCACTAGGTGTCATTCAAAGTTAAATATAGATCTCTCTCTTCATATGGATTCTATATGATTACTTATATTAAAAGTGGTAGATGAGGTTTAAGGAATTTGGCCAAAAAAGTTGTGATCGAATCTAATGTGGATTATTATTTTAAGGTCAGTTGAGTACTGCTCCCTATCCAAGTCCTTCAGGGGCTAGGGGAAGTGACTAGGGGTTGTTTTCAACCCGGGGCTACAGAGGGATAGTAGCCTGGTGCTCCAGTCTGTTTGTGCTTTAGTCAACTCCTCTCTGTGTTTGCGTTCATTGTCGTGACACACGTGTATGGCTTGACAATGATATAAAGAGCTAGCTACAGCACATACAGATGTAGGATCTTAATTTGATCACCCTGTTGCAGGAGAACTTTCCTGCAATGCAGGAAATGTAAATTGTGTAGTGTATTTGAGGTTTAAAAAGGATTTCCACTTTGAAATTCCCTTACGAAAAATGTATCAATGAACCCCTACAAAAATGTCCATAAATTTAATCCACATAATTCACATTTCTAGTTGCTGCAGGATTATTTTCCTGCTATAGCAAACTGGCTCAAATTAAGATCCTACATCTGTGCCGTATGGGACCAGGCTAGGATTTGAGTATATTGAATATCAAAAGAGGAGACAGCAATAAATACATCTCACCATACATGTAGCTGAGATCGTCTTTACCCCAGATAAAAGACCTCTGTAGCTAGTCAGGTTTTTTAAAGGCCCGTTCACTTGATTCGCACAAGGTGCTGAGCGCGCCGCTTGGTCGGGTGCAGCGCGAGGTCAGAGTTTAATATACTTTATCTCTGAGCGCAGCGTGGTGACCCGAAAGCGCCTACCTTGGTTCTTGCTGGCTCGATGCAATACCGTTCTGGCACAAATCAAGTGAACAGACCTTAACAGTGATACAGACCATCACAGGGAGAGGATAGCCTAGAATAGGAGAACTAGGGAAACACACAGGGTGACATCTTCTGTTTGATGAAACTTCACAGACCAGTCAATGTGGTTCATTTACCATTTCAATGTGTGACAAGATTTCAATATACTTGCAATAAAGTTGCCAACTGAAAATGCAATTCAAACCGGCTTTGTTTGTGTTTGCCAAAGCCGAACTTGATGAAAATGTGTTTAAATTACATTGTTGCACATTATTAATATACTAAATGCATTTCCTAACACATTTTGACATGTCCATTTCCCAGCAGGAAAAATAAACATATTACTCACAATACTTGCAGTGAGATGTCTCTCAAACCATCTCCTTTTACAATGTCCATGAGTTGGCGGACATGCTGCAATTATAGCTATAGTAAACGGTAGGTATGTAGCGATGTACACGATGCAATACGCAAGCCCAACCGTCAAATCGTGCACACGGAGGGCTGTTCAGTGGACAGAAGATGTCACCCATTATAGACTGTTTACATCAACATCATCAAAGCTTCACTTTAGAACAAGTGGCTTTCTATCGGACACAGGGACAAAAAACATCCATACATGACATACATGATAAGGATGTTGTACTGCACTAGGTGGTAGTTCTATGATCACACTGAGTTCTTCTACAACGGCTGGTTCATAGACAGCTGTGGGAGAGAGACGGGGTCGTGTTCATTAGGGCATGCCATGGAAAACATTTTAAAACGTTTTGTAATAGAAAATACGCGTTTCTTATTGGACAAGTCCAGGACGTTCCTCCCTGTTTCAGTCCCTTTTCCTCCGTTTGGTGCCTAATGAACACGACCAGAGTAGAGAAGCACTAGAGAAGCAGCAGCCCAGCCACTTTTCACCAGACATAAGTTCCAAGCCACAGGGCCTTGGTCTAGGACTAGGTCACCCCACTGCCAGTGACAACACCACAAGGGCTTCGCCACATGGAACTGGCCAAGGATATTTTTGAAGGGCTTCCTGGAAGCCTCCTTCCAGCCCCCTAGAAGTTCTACCTTACTTCCTTCTAGCCTCTTCGAAGACCTAGGCTCCTTCTCTGGTTCTCTGAGCCCCCACCTAGGGCTCTGACGTGTGAGGGGCTCCCACCTCCAGAGGAGTCCCAGGATGTGGGAGGCTCCCTGGGCTGCCTCTCCACATCTCCACCGTCTCCTGGGTGTCAAAGAATTCGTCAGGCCCCTCTGGGGACTGGGGCGTCTGTGCGCTGGAGCCTGCCTCACTGCCGCTCTCTTTGAGCTCCAGGAGCACCGGGAGAGAACCAGGGAGGTAGCCGTCCATACGTCCCAGAGAGAGGTCTGCCAGTGGGGAAGACGGCAGGCTCAATGGACTGGGGTCTGGCGCTTCACCGCAAGTGGCCTCAGTTGAAGCAGGGGACTCGCCTGGCTCCTCCTGCCTGGTTTCAGAGTTTCCACTCAGGGGCAGGTGGCTGGGGGTGGCTGGGGCCTCGGGGTTGTCTTCTGGGGGTGTCTGGCAGGGGGTGGTTGGGTCCTCCGTGGGGCTGGTGGGATTGGAGAGTTTGGGGGTTTGGGGGCCAGCAGTAGGGGCCTGCTGGCCTGTGTTGTGATGGCAGGAGTGGATCTCCTCGTTGCTCTGGGGGGTGAAGGGCGCCTTGTCGCTGAAGCTGAAGTGGGGGGAGGCGTCTGCCGTGGTGGGGGAGGAGGGGCCAGCGCTGGACACTGTACTGGACGGACCGCTGCTGTCTGCAGAGACAGAGACCAACCAAATGATCAATTAATCAATGTACCAAGCAATCATTCATCTATCAATTCAATTATGTTTTACTAAGGTCATGTTAATCATATTAAAATTGTGGCTAATAGGTTACAATTGAGTGCAGCGAAAGACATGACCAGAGAAGAAAGAATTGTGAGCTAGTTAGCACACAAAAAAGCCAAGCCCACCCACCGCTAAAGAAATGGTACCTGGGGATTTCACTTAAAACAAAACCACCATTAAAACACAGAACGTTTCTGTCCTCGAGCACACCTCTGAAAATCAGGAAATAAGTGGGTTACAGAAGACAATAGAAGACAGCGGTGAGGGAGTGGGAGAGGGTTGGAAACACAGTTAGTCAACACAGGCTGCGGTGGGCCACTGTAGTAGTAAATCACTTTAAATAGCCCACAGAAAGTGGAGCCTAGGGATGCAATTACATGTAAGCCTTAAAATGAGAAATTATAACTTACAATGCACACACACCAGAATAAGACCTACTGATTTTATGCTAGACAAAAAAAAACATACCTTCAACACAAATCATTACTCTTCAATCCTCCCTACTGCAACTCCTTCTCAACAAACTTCCAAACTAAAGTTAAATTAATTAAATGAAAAAGAGTGGACACTCACACCAGGGAGGTCTGTCAGAGCGCTGTCGGGGGGATACGGAGGAGGAGAGGACTCTCTGAGGCATGTAGGAGTCCACTGACGGCTGGTTCTGAGAGTCAAACATGGCCGACAGGGCTGTGAGGAGAGAGGTTGACACAGGGGTGTGATGAGAGATTGACACAGGGGTGTGATGAGAGATTGAAACAGGGGTGTGATGAGCGAGGAGAGACGTCGACACAGGGCTGTGAGGAGAGAGGTCGACACAGGGCTGTGAGGAGAGAGGTCGACACAGGGCTGTGAGGAGAGAGGTCGACACAGGGCTGTGAGGAGAGAGGTCGACACAGGGCTGTGAGGAGAGAGGTCGACACAGGGCTGTGAGGAGAGAGGTCGACACAGGGCTGTGAGGAGAGAGGTCGACACAGGGCTGTGAGGAGAGAGGTCGACACAGGGCTGTGAGGAGAGAGGTCGACACAGGGCTGTGAGGAGAGAGGTCGACACAGGGCTGTGATCCAGTGTGTGTTTCATTAGCCTGTGATACCTTATCTCTGTCACGTCGAGATGTTTCCATGTGGTTTTCCCGTGTGTGTGTAACAGTACATTACCTCTGGTGGTCCTGGAGTGGGCATCTCCTCCCGTCTCACACACGGCGGTGATGAACTCATCCACCTGCTTGAGGGATAGCGAGTTGTGCAACGTCTCCAGCGGGTAGATGGAGGGCACCATGGAGCAGCCTTCGAAGCCTGCAGTCAGAGAGGGGACAGACCCAGGCCCGCAGCCCCACCACCCTTCAGTCAGACTGGGCTAGGAGAGGAGGTTAGAGGGGTCTCTGGCGCAGGCAGGACCACTACTACAGCCAACACCACCTCCCCAGTCCCCAAGGACAGTCACTCACCCTACTGCAGTGGTCACCGACCGTCCTAGTTCTTGATGTGGAGGTCTTTGTTCCAGCCCTGCACTATCATCAGCTGACAGACTGATCACAAAGAGTTTCGTTTGTTAGTGCTGGGCTGGAACCAAAGCCTTCACGCCGGGTAGCTCTCTGGAACTAGAGGTGGAAGGTGAACACTGCACTAATGTTACGGTGTATTTCTGCTACGGTTGGTTTCCACACAAGCAATGCCGGGGAAAGACACAGGACATGCCTGATTCATGTAACCACATACAAGACCATCTCAGACAAAACTACTGTACAACACAAAAAAAAACATTCCTTACCCCAGGACACTTCAACAGGTGACTAAAGAAAAAGAAGCACTGTGTTAAGCGATCGCACGTGACCACGTGAGTACTAATCAAGGCTTGGCTATATACATTTTAGTCATTTAGCAGACGCTCTTATCCAGAGCGACTTAGTGAGTGCATACATAATTTTTTTATTTTTCATACTGGCCCCCCGTGGGAATCGAACCCACAACCCTGGCGTTGCAAACGCCATGCTCTACCAACTGAGCTACATCCCTGCCGGCCATTCCCTCCCCTACCCTGGACGACGCTGGGCCAATTGTGCGCCGCCCCATGGGTCTCCCGGTCGTGGCCGGCTACGACAGAGCCTGGATTCGAACCAGGATCTCTAGTGGCACAGCGATGCAGTGCCTTAGACCACTGCGCCACTCGGGAGGGTTTCCTACCCAAGGCTCTGATGAAGGCGCCCAAAGCCGACACAGAGCGCTCCTTTTTCTATATTTTCCCAGATAGTCACCTGTTGAAGTATCCTGGGGTAAGGAATTCTTTTTGGGTCCAGCACCTGATTCCCTTTTTGTTCAGGTTGAAGAGGGTTTGGGTACACTTTCTTTCTACTGTACAACACGTTTTTATCCATTGTAGCGGACAGACGACTCAAACCATATCCAGGAAGCCAGACAGATATGCACTCTGTCTCTAAACACACACCCTTTTCACACTACCGTGCCGACCCAAACTGTACTGGTTTGGATATTTTCTATGGTGGATGTGTACAGTTCAGCTCGGCTCAGCAGTGTGAAACGGGTCTTATTGGCAGTCAGCAAAGCACCGGAAGACTTCAGACCACACAGCCCAAGGTGTCTACAAAGCAACAAATCATTCCGGTCGATAGACCGTCCATTCAGCGTTCACTGCAATCCGTGTGCGTTTCACATCAATCCGTGTGCGTTTCACATCAATCCGTGTGTGTTTCACATCAATCCAAACAACAGTTTACGACCAAGTTCACCCTATTGGGTAGAAAAGCATTAAACAGAGTCTACACCAAGCAGACAGGGAGGCCGGTACTATGCTAAATTAAAATGCCACACGGTTTGAGTATGTTGTATCAGGAACATCCTAGTGGGCAAAACTGGTTGAAATAATGTCAATATAACCAGAAACTAGTTGAAATGACGTAATTATGTCATTTCAACCAGTTTTGCCTGCTGGAATACAAGGTTAGCGCCAAACCACACGCTGGTTAGGATAATATAATATTATAATATAATATAGGATCTAGAGTAGCTGAGCGTAGGGATACTCACCAAACAAGTAAATAGACATTAAATACCTCACAACTGAGATCTCAGATCATCATCACTGACGAAGCTTGATTCTGACTAATTACACGCAGACTAAAAGCATTCAGCCTAAGACAGCATCATTTTAGCCTAAAAATGATGCCATCTGGCATATAGGCTTTTTTCAATTTCACGCTGTATTGCTATTGGCATTCAAATAAAGTGTTAGATGTCAAATGACAGTATTGACTTCTTTATATATATACAGGTAACTGCCAAAAATCAAGGAAACACTTGAGTAAATGAGGGTACAAAGTATATTGAAAGCAGGTACTTCCACACAGGTGTGGTCCCGTCATGCTTAGGGTAATGTATAAAAATGCCCAGTTGCCAATTTTTTAGCTACCATGGTTAGAAGAAGAGATCTCAGTGACTTTGAAAGAGGGGTCTCAAAGTAGCATAGGGGGTTTAAAGGGTGTGTGTGTCTCAGTCACCAGATCTCAACCCAATTGAACACTAATGGGAGAATCTGGAGCAGTGCCTGAGACAGCGTTTTACGCCACCATCAACAAAACACCAAATTATGGAATTTCTCAAGGAAGAATGATGTCACATCCCTCCAATAGAGTTCCAAACACTTGTAGAATCTATGCCAAGGCGCATTGAAGCTGTTCTGGTGGCCCAACGCCCTATTAAGACCCTATGTTGGTGTTTCCTTTATTTTGGCAGTTACCTGTGTGTGTGTGTGTGTATATATATATATATATATGTTGTTTGTTTTTAATGACATTTTACACTTTATTCAGACAGCTGGAAACAGAGAGGAAGACAGGCAAGTGGGAGCACAGTAGGAAGGGTGAACGCAGAGAATGAACCCCGGTCTCCGGTTGGGAGAAGAGTATATGGGGTAGATTGCAACGAAGACACAGAACTTCGCATGGAGCACCGTGTTAGTGCTGGGTTTCTTAAAACGATTCTAACGGGAGATTACATGCACCTGCGTGCTAAAACAAGCTTGTTTGCAACGAAAACCCAACAACAATAAACCAGTGACTTAGCTGATCTTGCGTTGATACCAGACAGCTGCAACTTTCGTTGCCTAGGTTCTCTATTCCCGCCCCCAATTAAATAACATATCAGGAGCATCAGAAACCATAAGGCTGATGACTGTAAAATACTGTAAAATACTTATTATACTATAGGAGTAGTATGCCTATACTTCATTAAAATTTCATCTTAAATGGCTAAATAATGTGTGTTCCATTTGAAATAACTTTATTAGGCTACATTTTTATTCAATACAAATTATAGATTATATAACGATTTACTTGTTTTAGTTACACATTTAAAATATGGACAGCACAAGGACAACCACGAAAAATACTATATACTATATACTATATACTATATACTATATACTATATACTATAGGAAACTAGAAATGAATAAGAGGCTGCAACAACATGAGTTTTCCATCCATACAACATGTAGGGTAAATTACCACAGTACTGTAGATTTGCCGTGGTAAATGAAGAAATACTTTATTTCAGTTGTACGGCATAATTGTCATATAGATAATTCGCCCTTGGTATGTTCAAAAGGTAGGATTAATTTGTTCTGATGATAACCACCAGAGGGCGAAATAGTCTTGGAAAATGTTGGCAGCAATCAGGACTAAAAGAACCTCAACAACCGCTCTTAGGAGCGGTAAATCGGTGGGCAATGATGGATGCAATCGAGTTCATCAGTGCGGGTGATTTTAACGCGTATTGATGGTTTAACGAGAGATTCCCTTGTGTTAGTACGCTGGCCAATGTTCATTGCAATAGGCCGTCTGGGACTGGCCGGGAGTGGGGACTGGCCGGGAGTGTTACCGCTAGAGACTACAGCCCACAGGCTCTGCACAGTGTTGACTTCTGAGAGAGCGGGAGGAAAGCCTAAAGGGATCAACCAGTGATTTCATGTAGGCCGCTGGCACTAACGTCGGAGTAGATTTTCATGGGCGGGTCCACACTGCAGTGTCTGTTCAGTCATTGTTGCGCATGCTCCCGTATTAACCAGGGGGTGATATATGACACCTATCCATTCTTCGTGACTGATCGTGGTTAAAAGACCAGCAGATCTATGACTGATTCTGCTACTGCTTCAGTGTGTACAGTACAAACTTGATCCTACGGTCCTAGATTCACAACTGGATTATTTCCTAATTGTTTTCGCCATTTTCCACAGAGGTATAATATAACCCTATAACAGTTATATTGTTCTGTGTTGTATTGACTAGTTTGACATAGTGCTCTCATGCAGACATTACTGTATGTGGCATAGACAATGCTGCAGTAATCATTACTACACACAGCTGGGTTAGGAGTGGTCCCTGGTGGATATGCTGAGAGCTGGGTTATGAGCGGTCGCCGGTGGATATGCTGAGAGCTGGGTTATGAGCGGTCGCCGGTGGATATGCTGAGAGCTGGGTTATGAGCGGTCGCCGGTGGATATGCTGAGAGCTGGGTTATGAGCGGTCGCCGGTGGATATGCTGAGAGCTGGGTTATGAGCGGTCGCCGGTGGATATGCTGAGAGCTGGGTTATGAGCGGTCGCCGGTGGATATGCTGAGAGCTGGGTTATGAGCGGTCGCCGGTGGATATGCTGAGAGCTGGGTTATGAGCGGTCGCCGGTGGATATGCTGAGACAGAAAGACAGAGACATAGAGAAGGCATGTAGATAAATGACATCAACACCCAGGCAGACCACCAAGCTATGCTCACGCCAGGTGACCAGATGAAATGAGTTCTCTGGTTTTCTAGTAATACCTACATAGTGGTTTAATCTCAGACAAGTGGTCTTGTCACATGCTGCACAGTTTTATACAACACAATGGGTCTCATTTCAGACAACATCTGACAACCTCTATCCGCTAGCTAAGATACATTCCAAACTGCAGCCAGTTCATGGTTCAAAAGATCTATGTTGGCAACAGTCACTCAAATGAAGACCATTAGTACTAAAACATAAGCAAGATCAAATTTGAACTGAACTGCAGGGAGGAAATAAGATTCAGTTAGGCCAAATAATGCAAGACACCTAAAAAAGCCAAACCACACCAATGGCAAGCCGCACTCCCAAAAGTGGCAGGCAAGCATGCGTCAAACAAACCACCAAAGACAAAGCGGCGAAAGTCAACTGCGGCGGCAGTAACTAGCAGCACACCAATACCAAACGAAACCTCAGATCTGCAAGCAGTACAGCAGAGGGTTTAAAGGGCATAGGAGGGCAGAGAGCAGGGGGTTGAAGAGGGTCTGGGGAGCAGGGGGCCGGGGGGCTGACCGTAGAAGTACTCTAGGGGGTCCTGGCCAGAGACCAGCCAGTTACGGAAGAGGCGGAGGTGGTAGGAGCAATGGTGGAGGTGGTGGGTCAGTGCCCCGTCCAGAGAGAGAGGGCGGCCCAGGCTGGCATCAGTGGAGAAGCGCCTCAACAGCTGGGCAAGGTGGTGCTCCTCCAAGGGCTCTGGGGAAGGAGGAACAGGAGGAGAGAGGATAGGACGGATGGAGCAGGGGAGGAGGACATGGAAGGGAGGCAGAGGATGACCATAAAGGAAGAGGGAAGAAGATAGTGGAGGAGGAGAGGATGAAGGAGGAGGAGGAGAGCCAGAGAGGTGGGAGGATGAGGAGGGGGAGATGGAGATGGAGGGAGGATTGGAGGCAGAGGGTGACGATAAAGGATGAGTGGAGGAGGTGAGGATGGAGGCGGAGGAGACGGAGGGGTGGATAGATGAGGTGGGAGGAGAGCAGGGAGGGGCGGATAGATGAGGTGGGAGGAGAGCAGGGAGGGGCGGATAGATGAGTGGGAGGAGAGCAGGGAGGGGCGGATAGATGAGCTGGGAGGAGAGCAGGGAGGGGTAATAGATGAGGTGGGAGGAGAGCAGGGAGGGGCGGATAGATGAGGTGAGGAGAGCAGGAGGGGATAGATGAGTGGGAGGAGAGCAGGGAGGGGTAATAGATGAGGTGGGAGGAGAGCAGGGAGGGGTAACAGATGAGGTGGGAGGAGAGCAGGGAGGGGTAATAGATGAGGTGGGAGGAGAGCAGGGAGGGGTGGATAGATGAGGTGGGAGGAGAGCAGGGAGGGGGATAGATGAGGGGAGGAGAGCAGGGAGGGGGATAGATGAGGTGGGAGGAGAGAAGGGAGAGACCGGTGGAAGAGAGTGGGACTGGAGAGAGGAGAGGTAGCACCCATTGTGTGGACAGAGAGGGGGTGACTGGGAGGAGGGAGAGAGGAGCGGTAGCACCCATTGTGTGGACAGAGATGAGGTGACTTGGAGGTACAGTAAGTTACTGCTATTTCTAACAGTCAACCATCTCATGTCAACCATCCCATTCCTCCATGCTCTGGACCAGCTACCATAAACGGCAAAAACCTTCAAGCAATATTCAGCAGACCCCATCCAACCCAATCCCAACAATCCCACAGGTTTGCAGAAAGGCCTCAGCAAAATCTTCTCCATCCAACTGTCACAAGCATTGACAGAGAGCAACGACTCAAAATCCAATAGATGTAATAGCGTATCACATGCCTCCACTGCAGTCTCATCTTGGTTACGGAAAAACCTCTGGGATACAATCCATAGGTTTAGAAGACAGAAATAAAAATTCATATGAAAATCCACAGAGGAAATGTCAATATTGCTTTTGTATTTAATGCATTTCAATTTTTAACAGCACTGACTAGTTTCAAGTTGAGAGACCACAGAGGAGCATGTGATAGAACTGAATAGGTTCAAAACGTTGAGACGTGGATCTGCTTAATTAGTCAAATATGTATTCACAATGACACTAACATTCAAATCCTAGAGAGAAAAGGACACTTAACCTGGCGTCCAATAAAAATACACTACACGAAAGCGGTCCACCGTGCATAGCGTTTTTGCCGTGCCACAATCATTTTGTACAGGTTGCATAAAGCTGCAGTTGGATGTAAACCTTAGCCTCATTCCTTACTGTACCTGACACAGGCCACCACAGAGAGGGAATAACAGCCACAGCAGACGTATCATCCTGTGTCCCTATTAAAGTCAATATATACACACACAGTTGTGAATTAACATGCTTCAAGTTGCGTCATTTTTTTCTCTCCATAAAAGCAATTAGATGCTGTGTTCATGTACTGAAATGACATTTTAAGGGCCTCATTTATAAACGTTGCGTATGTACAAAATATACCCCGAAACATGCGTGTGCCAGTTTTCCTTAAGCTTCCTTAACCAAACTTTAGACCATGCGTACGCACATTTTCTAGTGGTTGAAGTATTGTATTGCAAGCAGACAAGTGAAAACTGGAAAATATAATAACAAGATGCAGCCATCTGCCATTAGCAAGAAGAGCAAAAAACTGTGTTTTATTTTTGGAATCCAAAATAATTAGACATAGGAATCATTGCAGAATAAATTCCTCACCTTTTCTGGCCTTGATGGGTTCATTTTCCCAAAGTAGCTATACAACAAATGACCACAACTGTCTCTCATAATTGGACCGACTATCCTAGTAGGCTTAAACAGACAGGCTATGTACAGTACTTCAAGTTTTGCTATATGAGATCCATAGGCAGCACAGTTTATAATACACAGTCCAATTGAACAGGTGGTCTTCTCCAGAACCTGCTATTCTCCAGAAGTGGCTCTGCCCTCCAGCAGCGATGGCTGCAAGGGTGGGAGTTGTCCAAGTACACCTGTCCCTGTCCCTAACCAACATCCCTACAGTCAGAATACTGGACCCCACAGGCAGTTGCCCAAGTACACGTCCCGGCCGGGTTGTCCTTGTCCCATCGCGCTCTAGCGACTCCTGTGGCTGGCCGGGCGCATGCACGCTGACACGGTCGCCAGTTGTACGGCGTTTCCTCCGACACATTGGTGTGGCTGGCTTCCGGGTTAAGCGTGCATTGTGTCAAGAAGCAGTGAGGCTTGGCGGGGTTGTGTTTCGGAGGACGCATGGCTCTCGACCTTCGCCTCTCCCGAGTCCGCACGGGAGTTGCATCGACGGGACAATTGGATATGACATAGTCGGGGAGAAAAAGGGGTAAGGGGACCCCACAGGCAGTGGTCAAGTACACCTGCCCCTGTCCCTAACCAACCTCCCGACAGTCAGAATACTGGACCCCAGAGTGTGAAGTATGCTCAGAGCAGGTCATCTACTGTTTTCATGTGTCAATCTAACTATTCTTTTCTCCAGGTAGTTGGTGATTGGACATGGAGTTCCTCCTGACTGCAATGAAGGTAAGACTAAAAAGAAAAGCCTTGATGCCAGGTGCGCTAGATTAGGGTTGGAGTGAAAACCTACAACAGGGTTGGAGAGCACTGCAGTCTATGGTACATAGGCCCTCTCATATAGAGTTTATACACAGCAGTGTGTTTCATGTTGTAGTGGCCTGCGTGGTTTAGAGAGCATGGTGCTTGGATTGTGGGTTCGATTCTTTCTGGGGACTCTCATACCAAAATGTAAAGGAGCTTCCAATATTTCTCTCTCGAAAACCAGTTCTTCCTCGACCGTGTTGCAAAATATAATACAAAATGTCTGAACCCCTCCAATGTAATGATCATGTTTTAACTTTCACTACATAGTTTGTAGGTCCCAACCAGGAGGAAAATATTTTAAAAACGGAAGAGTGAATTGAATTCTCATTTTCGGTTTAAAAACATTTAGCTCCCGTTTGGTGCCCACTACCCAGTGAATATATCCAGTGTCTCAAGGAAAGTGTACAAAACCCCAAGGTACTGAAAAGGGTCCTGGAGAACAATGAGCTATGCATTTCACAAGCACAATCAAACAAACACATTGGTCATATGCAGATTCATCCATCTCATGACAACCATACGTGGTAAAAAAAAAAAGTATAAAAATCACACGTTAACCCTTTCCCCGTTTAGCAGTAACCGCCAATCGTTCTGTCACAGTCAATCTAGACTGCAAAACAGTTAATTCACTTATCCAGTCACCTATTCAAACGTGAGGGGTATAAGTTGTAGCTTAGGTTGCCAATGCAGGATATTGAATGAGAATAGAGGGGACTGAGTCACAAGAAACAGGGGAAGGGTTAGGAGTTGGTGGGGATTTTTGGTTGGTGTTTTCAAGAGATGGTTTCAATTCACATATTCAACATAGATAATATGTATATACACACATCCAAGGTCATATATACACATCTATCCACTGAAAAAACATTGAATCATTGGGTGAGGGTGACAATTTTGTACGCAGGATGTTACAAACAGAATGTGGGGTAGTGTTAAAGTGAATGGGCAGACAAAAGAAAGACTGAAAAACCCAGAGGGTTGGGAAACATGGTAGTAACGGCCACGTGAAGTAGAACCGAAAAGTACAAATAAAGAGAGATTTCCAAAGACATGCAAGACAAACGGAGGTGGAGAAGTGGAAATATACTGGAAAGAAGCAGACGTACCATTAGTCGGATGCTTTGCAAACGACACAGAAAATCTCTTTACTGCCGGCATAGACAACAACTCTGAGGAAATAGAAAAAGGTCACTAGTGTTACCATCGGTCACAGAGCACCTGTACAGGGTGTGTACACTGGCTGTCTTGGTGGGAGGGGTGTTAACGCTACTTTCAAATAGTTCTTCTGGCATTAGGTACAGTGCTAAAGGTGTGAAGCATTTAGGGGCCATAGCAGAAAAGTACAAATGTTATTCCATTTGAAGTGTTCGTGGTTCTAAGGTAAGATGAGTTAAGATAAAAAAGGGACATAAGAGGGAAAGACAGGTAGGATCTTTTGTAGGAACACGCTAGATGGTCTAGAATTGACGAGGTACAAGGTATGTTAGAAGTGCTGGTGTTGCCTAATAAGCTGATACTTTCAAGATCAAATTACAGGCTAAATGGATGAAAATCTCTCATGGTGACAGGATGAAATGAGATGGCTCGAAATGTAGGAGATGGAAGACAAAAAAAAACATTTCCCGTCTTGACAACTTCTCAGTGATTAGGGACATTTTTCTGTCCGTATGATGGAGGCCTATACAAGCCCACAACTCCAACCACTCCCTTCAGATGTGTTACATCCCAAATACAGGAGAGAGATTTGGTGCGTTTGATTCAGCTTGCCCATTCCATTGTGAATTAGGTTATCTGCCCTCCAGATGAGCCACGGTGCCAGGCAAACTATATCAAAAGCTTGGAGTTTTGTTCGAAGTAACAAAGCATTAAGACTGACAGCAGCAAAGTACTGTTCAAAACCATAATTTTGCTGGAAGGAGGCCAGCTTCTCAGACACATGCACACACACACACACACACACTAATCATGTCAATCTAGGTTCTTCAAAGGGACTATATTTGAAAACACAGTGATCTCAGATTCAGGTTTTTTTCATGATCACCAACAAGAGTAAGGACACGGATGATGAAAGACTTAATGGAACAACAGACATGATGAACGTGACACGACACTCAGTGAGACGCAACAAGACAACCGAGAAGATGGCAGCCCAATCGAAAAACAGCCGAATCGAAAAATAGCTATGACAACATCACAGTGACACCATGTGGACAGCCAAGTACAGACAGATTTGTCGTCCCATGTCTGATGGTCTAGGTAACACAAAAGACAATGAACAACTCAAAGCCCAACCTCCGCTATGTAAAGTTGGTATGTACAGGTAAACACAAAATGGCATTTAATGATGAGGGCATTCTCTCCATAAACCCAGTAACCCATAAACGTCATTTAGGTTCAAACAGATCCAAATACAGATTAGCCTAATCACACATATGGGTGTGCCTTTTGTGATATCAGCGCAAATATGTGCGTATATAGATTATTGTAAGAGCAAACCTATGTCCAAGTAAGAGTATGGCCAATGGCATACTGTGCTCGTCATTGGATGGGACCTCTGCTAAATCCACTACTGGGACTATCTACTAGAGCTCCAGAGCCATCTGCTGACCGAGTCTCAGAAATACATTCAACTCTGATCAGGAAACCATGGGAACGTTCTAGAAAGAATTTGAATTAATATATATATATATATATATATATATATATATATATATATATATATATATATATATATATATATATATATATATATATATATATATATATATACATACATACACACATATATATACACACACACATCTTACAAGTCTATTTAGAATGTATTACAAGTCAACATTATAAATAGGCCTACAGATTTTTTTATATCTCCATTTAACTGAAGATAAAGCTGTATAAATGGACATTTAGCTTAGTTTCCTACTGGACACCGTTGATATGGAAGCACTAAAGATATTTCACAAGAAGTCTATACAGATATTTCCTAATTCTTCTGAGCACTATGTGCCAGCAGGTTAACATTGAAGGAGGCAGGATACCTACAGTAGTGAGTTAGATAAATGTTCTGTGTTAGACTTATTGCATGTAAATAGTTGTAAGACCATGTTAAACAGATATGAATACCAAAACATGAACCATGCAACAAATATGAGATCACAACAGTGGTGTAATATCTGGCTTAGGTCAGGGTTTCTAAGGGAATATGTTCCGCTGTGGTTGCTACGATGTGGCCCCAACTGATCTTTTCAGGCTTTGTCAGTCTTTAAGGGAGCAATGATATCTTATGTTCCATATTCCAAAAATGGCAAAGGTCTTTCACCTGGGCGCCACACTCTTTCTACGTGTATCAACGCAGGCTACATCGTGGTCTTGGCAAGACAACAACAACAACTTGGCTACTGGCTAGAGCGGAATACAAACTGGTATGCAGGCTAACAAAAAATGCTAAGGAAATGACCATTTTCACACTATTGTGCCGACCTGAACCAAACTGTGCTGGCTCGGATCATTTATTTTCATATTTCTCCTTAACAGCATGGTTCCAGCAACTATGGTGGATATGTGACCAGGCCAGCTAAGCTTGGCTCAGTACGGTTCAGCTCAGTAGGGTGAAAAGCCCCAAGGTGCACTACAAGCATGAAGGGAAACCTGCCCTGCTTGGTGTGTGACTATGCAATGTGAGGGATGGTATGGAGGTCTGGTGGCCAGCAGTCTAATGCAGGGTTAGACATCCCTGGTCCTAGATAGCCACAGGGGTGTGCAGGACCAGGGTTGCCCACCCCCAGTCTAACAATACCCATCCATTGTGTGTCTTTCTAGGCTAGAGGAAATATAAACAGGATCTTAGCCACATACCGTCTTTATAGGACAGGCTGCCCGAGGAGAATTTTTTTCGGTGTGTGCGTGCGTAGTCCTGCAGGTTGGGGGCGCTAGAGGAGCCTCCCAGGACGGTGGTACTGAAGAGCCCCGCACACTGAGAGCCTGTGGGAGAATTAGTCACCACAACATGCAGTTATTCAAACAATGCTCTGAATCAGTTAGCAAGGGGGGGAGAGGGGCACTTATCAGACCTGGGTTGAAATACTGTTTGAAATCCTGTCAAATACTATATATCTGGGCTTGTTGAGCTTATCTGGCGCAAAGGAACCAACGGAATAGTTGCAAAAGTGGAAACCCCGCCCATCTGGCACTCACTCTAGGCAGACTAGAGCAAACACTACCAGTATTTGCAAGATTTCAAATAGAGTTTGAACCCAGGTCTAGTAGTCACATGACTCCCCATACCAAGGTCATTCAACATCCTGACTCCTAACCTATGCAAGGCTAAGGGATCTACTCTAAAAAGACTTATGAGCTACTAGGCCTATTTAATACCCTTTTCACATTAGTGTGCCGACCAGACCTCACTGGCTCTGGTAATATGTGGTTCGGTTGGTAAGAGAGTGACGCTAGCAATGTCAAGGTCAAAGGTTCAATTCCTGAAGGTATCACACACACACACATAAAAAATCATGTATGCACTCACTGTACTGTAAGTTGCCTTGGATAAAAGCATCTGCTAAGTGGAATATTATCATTATAATTTTATTTTGATTCAGATTTTCTTTTCACATTATCCTTTCCAGCACAGTTCCAGCAACTATGGTGGGTGCGTAACCAGGCCAGCATGGCTCAGATGAGTGGTGTGAAAAGTATTTAAGTCGGTACATATCACTTCATAGTTACACAGATGTGGTCAAACATATTGGCACCTTTGCACGCTTCACTATTTCTTCTAAAATAAGTTGACATTTAAAAAACGTTTGTTGTTCACACGTATTCGTTTGGTTTACAACTGCACATGATAAAACTTTTTTTTTTAAATAAAAACTTAAATTTAGATTTTTCACTTCAAAGTTTTAAAAAAATGGCCTGGACTAAATTACACAAAATTCTAATTAATTTGGTTGGAGGCAAGTGATTCTTGTTTATGTGTAATTTATCTCACCTGTGGTAAGTTGCAGGTGCCTACCGGGAAAAATAGCAATTCAATCAGTTTTAAAAAGAGAAACATCCTTCTCCAGTAAGGAAAATGCCATTGTGCATCTCAAATGGAACCCTATTACTTCTTAATATGTTGTTAATGACCGTGGCCCAGCTGATTCAATGTTATTAAGCTAATATTAGTATTCAAACCAGTAAGTTCAAAGTAAGTTTCTCAATTGTTAGAAAAATCCAAAGTAGATGCACTTGGAAATTCAAAATAATTGTCATTAGGATGGTTAATCATATCATAAAACATCAATTTTTACCAAAACTATGGTATCAGAATATCAGTGACAAGATAACTACTCATCGAGCAGCCGAGGACCACTGTACATCACTACAATCTTACAACCGAAAACCTGGCTACCACTTGAATAAGCCTCCAGTATAGTCCATAATACCTAGCTAGGCCTCCAGTATAGTCCATAATACCTAGCTAGGCCTCCAGTATAGTCCATAGTACCTAGCTAGGCCTCCAGTATAGTCCATAGTACCTAGCTAGGCCTCCAGTATAGTCCATAGTACCTAGCTAGGCCTCCAGTATAGTCCATAGTACCTAGCTAGGCCTCCAGTATAGTCCATAGTACCTAGCTAGGCCTCCAGTATAGTCCATAGTACCTAGCTAGGCCTCCAGTATAGTCCATAGTACCTAGCTAGGCCTCCAGTATAGTCCATAGTACCTAGCTAGGCCTCCAGTATAGTCCATAGTACCTAGCTAGGCCTCCAGTATAGTCCATAGTACCTAGCTAGGCCTCCAGTATAGTCCATAGTACCTAGCTAGGCCTCCAGTATAGTCCATAGTACCTAGCTAGGCCTCCAGTATAGTCCATAGTACCTAGCTAGGCCTCCAGTATAGTCCATAGTACCTAGCTAGGCCTCCAGTATAGTCCATAGTACCTAGCTAGGCCTCCAGTATAGTCCATAGTACCTAGCTAGGCCTCCAGTATAGTCCATAGTACCTAGCTAGGCCTCCAGTATAGTCCATAGTACCTAGCTAGGCCTCCAGTATAGTCCATAGTACCTAGCTAGGCCTCCAGTATAGTCCATAGTACCTAGCTAGGCCTCCAGTATAGTCCATAGTACCTAGCTAGGCCTCCAGTATAGTCCATAGTACCTAGCTAGGCCTCCAGTATAGTCCATAGTACCTAGCTAGGCCTCCAGTATAGTCCATAGTACCTAGCTAGGCCTCCAGTATAGTCCATAGTACCTAGCTAGGCCTCCAGTATAGTCCATAGTACCTAGCTAGGCCTCCAGTATAGTCCATAGTACCTAGCTAGGCCTCCAGTATAGTCCATAGTACCTAGCTAGGCCTCCAGTATAGTCCATAGTACCTAGCTAGGCCTCCAGTATAGTCCATAGTACCTAGGCCTCCAGTATAGTCCATAGTACCTAGCTAGGCCTCCAGTATAGTCCATAGTACCTAGCTAGGCCTCTAGTATAGTCCATAGTACCTAGCTAGGCCTCCAGTATAGTCCATAGTACCTAGCTAGGCCTCCAGTATAGTCCATAGTACCTAGCTAGGCCTCCAGTATAGTCCATAGTACCTAGCTAGGCCTCCAGTATAGTCCATAGTACCTAGCTAGGCCTCCAGTATAGTCCATAGTACCTAGCTAGGCCTCTAGTATAGTCCATAGTACCTAGCTAGGCCTCCAGTATAGTCCATAGTACCTAGCTAGGCCTCCAGTATAGTCCATAATACCTAGCTAGGCCTCCAGTATAGTCCATAGTACCTAGCTAGGCCTCCAGTATAGTCCATAGTACCTAGCTAGGCCTCCAGTATAGTCCATAGTACCTAGCTAGGCCTCCAGTATAGTCCATAATACCTAGCTAGGCCTCCAGTATAGTCCATAGTACCTAGCTAGGCCTCCAGTATAGTCCATAGTACCTAGCTAGGCCTCCATTATGGTCCTTAGTACCTAGCTAGGCCTCTAGTATAGTCCATAATACAGTATCTAACTCCAGGTTGATTTCTATCAGAAATAGACAGTGACAGAGCACCATTGCCACCTCTCCCTCTACCACTATAGACTTTAATGACAGTTGGGGTGATATGGGTAAACACGGTTTCCATAGCTACAGTGTAAGGGAGGGAGTAGGGTAAAGTTGCCCCTAGACACTGCTCTTAGGTTCATTTTGCACTAATGGTTAAGGATTGGGGGAGGGGAAACTGATCCTAGATCAGCGCGTGTAAGGGAGCAGGGAGGAAGGAGACACCCACCTAGACCACTCTGCTTCATCTCAGGGGACTGGCGAGAGCAGGAGGGGAAGAGACGGTAGCTGCCTGCTTTGGATGAAGACGTCTCCGACAGGACCTGGGGTGACACACACACACAGGCACACACATATGGTAAGGAGCTAATTCAGAGCGTCTGACGCCATACACAGATCCCCATCACTGGCTGCCAGACTGAAGGACCACATGTGACCTCTGTCAGACAGACAAGGAACTCAGAGCAACAACAACACAGCAGGACAGCCCTGGCTTATGGCCGGATCCTAACTCAGGGAACACAAAAGTCTTACATTGAATATCAATAGTCTAAAGATGCTTGCACTCCTTGTCTCATCTTTCACTATTGCTACTACTACTACTAGTATTACAACTAGTACTGCTAGTATTACAACTACTACTGCTAGTACTACTCCTGCTGCTACTACTACTAGTATTACAACTAGTCCTACTACTACCTCTGGCTCTATTGACAATAGAAGAGTGTGTGTGTGATTTTACCTCCATAGACCCAGTCTTGCGGTTGTGAATCAGAGGGGATCTCCGGTGGATGCCCATTGGCTCAGAGAGCGGTACGGCCCGGTCGGGCTCGTCACGTGATAGATCCTCCAAGCTGCCAGGGTCTGTCTGTTTCTGATCATTCTGAACCGAGAAAGAGGGTGCCACAGACTAAGCACAGACATTGTGAAAACGAAAGCGCGCTCGCGCACATAACACATTTATATCTATAAAAACACAATGACACAATATACCGTACCCACAAAGGGCATTGATGTACCACTATGGGCGCTTTCATATTTCCCTGTATGATCCGGATGCTGGATAGTTTGGTACCCTGATCCACGCTATAAAGCATGTGTGAAACGCAAACCTTGGCTGAAACGAATCCAGGACCAGAGTACCAGGCTTTGTGACACGGCAGCCCGAGTAGCGTTAAACTTTTGTCATGTAGTCATGTAGAATGTGCATCTTGCAAATTGCACTGTGAAACGGTTATTTTCAGATCTTGTAAAAGCAAAATATATTTTGTAGAATTCCCAGAAATGCTTCATTTAACCAAACCAGGGTAGTGAATTTCATATGTGAAAACATCCTATTAGATTAACATTAGGACCAGACATTAAACACTGTTACCTCTGCGGAGGCGGGACGGAAGCCGAAGCCCATTGGTGCATTCTCCTCCTCCTCGCAACCTTTGACCCCAGGGCTGAAGTGAAGCTCCACATGAAAACGCTCCTCTGACGACGGGTCCTGAGGGACAGCACAGAGAGGGGTTAGTGAAAGAAAGGGAAACACACACACCCCCCTACACACTCACTACAGAAACACACACACACACACACACACACACACACACACCACTACCTTGTTGTTGTCCTCATACAGCATGATAACTATCTGGGTCATGTAGTTGAGTTCAGAAACGGCACCAAGGTAGTCCATCGCCCGCTTCCACTGCTGGTCCTTCTCCTCCTGTAACACACACACCAATTATTGGATAGACTGTAGTTCTGGGTAATGTAGTTCTGTAGCAGTCATTCTGGGAAATGTAGTTCTAGGAAACCGTAGTTCTTCTGTGGTAGTTGTGTACTTACGTCGAGCAGGCCTCCGTAGCGGAAGGTGCTGAGTAGAGAGTGGACGTGACTCTCGCTGGTGAAGTAAAGACGCGTCCGGACGTGGCGACCTGGTGACATCACTCCTCGAGAGTACCTGAGTCGCCAGAGAAAACATGTTTTATTATTTTTATTTAAGTTGCCATCAAACATGATGGACCCTGCAAACAAAGACATATTGGGACATAATTGACTGAGCTACAACTTCATGTTGCAGTTGCCTTTAGATCTAGGATCAGACCTTAAATCAGCGTCCAGGTGCAACTTGACTATTGCATGCCTGTGGGTCAAGACTCACAATGGATGGAGTTTGTTGACCGACTCATCCTCGTGGGTCCTCTGGAGGTCCAGCTGGATCTTCTTGACCAGAGGTAGGCAGTAGGCGTATGCTATGTCCAGCTTCTCCACTTTATTAATGCCGTATTCCTGAGGAGAATACACAAGTCGTGAGCAATACTCGCTGCCTAAGACGCACAGGGGTCAGAGCATTGCAATATACAAAGTCTGAGAGCATCTAAACAGTGACTGGTGTCCATCAACACTAGGTATGAGGATGTCAGCCAGAGCTTGTGACACCCTGTGGAGTTCCAGAGTATCCATCTATCGCTTACGCAACTGACCCACCCAACCCTCCCTTCCTCCCTCATCTGTGGTTTGATGATATCAGTGAGGATGTGTGACAACCTGAACAGCTCCAGAGTATCCATCCATCCCTCCAAAACAACCATCCATCCACCCATCCACTCACCATTCCATCCATCCACCCCTCCTTACTGCCCTCCCTCACCTGTGGTATGATGATGTCGGCGAGGGCTCGGGACAGCCTGAACAGCTCCAGCGTGTCCTCCAGGCCCAGCGTGGCGTTGTGCTGCACGTCGTACTTCACACAGTCATAGATGTCCGGGATCTTGCTGATGTCGTAGCGGCCGCTCTTCATCCGGAAGTCCCGCTCCAGCTTGGACCAGCGCTGCAGCATCAGCTCCAGAGTCTCACTGTGGTACAGCTGCAGGTCTGGGGGTCAGGGGTCAGGAGGAGGGAAAGGAATAAAAGGAGATGATGAGAAGGAGGATGGAGGGAGGAAAAGAGGAGAGGAAGTAGCGGAGAGGTAGGAGAAACACAGTAGTCTGGGATTGGTACAGATCCACCTCGCCTTGTGCTGTACATTGCACCGAGCTGAAATAACACAATCACAGTGCTATGCTATGTTAACAAAGGGTGTACCTGCAGATTTGGGGTCCTCTAGTCTCTTGCGTATCTGGGAGGTGAGGCTCTGGATGAGTGTGTAGACCTGGTCGCATGTCATCACAGGGTTCTCCACAATCCTCATAGAGTTAACCACAGAGGCTGCACCTGTAGGGGCCAGCTGGATGGACACAAACACACACACATTACTCGCTGAAGAACAAAGAACATTATGCAATAATGAACAGCTTAAAACATCTAAATCCTATTTGCTTTCATTACAACCAATTACAGAGCCCAGAATGATCAAAGTGCAGTGCAATAACAGAGCAGAACAATTTCCATCCTCCTGAAGCAATCACTAGTCTCTACACACCACTATCTCACGCCGTTTGATTTTGCCTAGCTTCAGTGTGACTTAACCTAGCTTCAGTTTGACTTAGCCTAGCATAAGTTTGACTTAGCCTAGCATCAGTTTGACTTAGCCTAGCATCAGTTTGACTTAGCCTAGCATCAGTTTGACTTAGCCTAGCATCAGTTTGATTTAGCCTAGCATCAGTTTGACTTAGCCTAGCATCAGTTTGACTTAGCCTAGCATCAGTTTGACTTAGCCTAGCATCAGTTTGACTTAGCCTAGCATCAGTTTGACTTAGCCTAGCATCAGTTTGACTTAGCCTAGCATGTCTTTTACCATTCAGTAAGACTCATTAGAAAGGATGAGGAGGAAACTAAAAGCTTCAGAAAGGATTGGTGGAAAAAGAGAGCTTGTTCTGTTTGCAAACCTCATTAGGATTAAGCCCTTCCGGAGGCTAGATTTACTGAACATTGTAACAATGCCCATTTCTTTTTCACTCTAACCTCTTTTCTTTACAGCTTGCGTGTGTAATGGAGGTAGTATGGTGAACTACCTATGCTTTCCTGATAAGACTCATGTTAGCTCCCCAAGCTAATGCCTAGGCTAGGGCACACAGACGACTTGTGTTTGATACCTGGGTCGTATTCATGAGGCACAAAACCGATGAAAACGTCCCGAAGCAGATCGAATGGGCAGGTACTATCTACTAGCTTGTTTTCCTTTTCCATTGCACAAAGTTCTGCTACGGTGTGCCCTGAACACTACCCAGGTCGGTTGCACTTGGTGATTGGCTGAGCAGGAATTCATTGAAATCAATTACCCTATCGTAGTCCTCCTCGGTGAACTCCTGGTCTTTCTGCATGATCTCGTGGAGACGGGCCTTGACGCGGTGCTGGCAGCCGCTGAGCGAGTCGCTGTCGTTGTCCAGCAGGCCGTTCATGTTGGCACTCTTCACCATCTGCACAAGGATGGGCGTCAACTCTCCCTCTAACGCCAGCAGACCCTGCCAGGCAAACACGCAGATAAACACATGTACACACACAAACAGCTGTGACCTCTGACCTCGGACCCATGTGACGCCTAGTGGTTACCTTGGCGAAAGCTGCGGCGGTCATCTGCACTCTGCCCTCGTCAGACGCGTAGATCTTGAGGTCGTGTCGGTAGGTGCTGTGTAACCGTAGCAACCCGCACCCAGGGAACCCAGCGTAGTCTCCTAGAACGACAGACAATGATCAGATGTTTTTTTCAGTGAACAGAGTTGGCAACAGTGTTTTGGTGCGTGTGTGTGTGTCACCTTGTCCTCCCGGGTACATGCAGCGGAAGGCCCTGCCCAGCTCTTCAGCCTGTACCCTGCCTGCCGGGGTCAGCTCCCCTCCCCACTTCAACACCAGTAGCAGAGAAGGGCACTCCTTACGTGTGTCTGTTGAACACCACATCAGCTTAACTAGCAATCAATTCAATCCTTCGTATTGTAAAACCTAAATTGAATGCCCAGGCTGGCTTTAACTGTGTGTGAAGTTGAGTTTGGTTGGAGACCAGTACGTATTGGACTCAGGCATTTAATACAATTCCTATCACTGATAGCCCAGTTTGAAATGACAACACTTTTGTTCCATTTAGCACAAAGCATTTGTTACAAATGGAGAAAGATTCCACAAAAGTAACTACAGATGGCCTAGCTACCACTCTGTGATAAAACTCACTAATTGGCAATACCGACTGTGTGTTTGACATGCAGGGCTCAAACATCTAGCGCTAGATAGAGAAACTATGACTATGAACTGGAGCAGAGTGGCTATTTGATGTGTTCATGTGAGGATAAACTGATACCCAGCTCTTACTAGAGACCAGTGTTTATTTGCTAGAATGTCATGTGATATCTGGCAACCATAAGCCACAGATGCTTGCTGGAGGCTTGGCATGTAATGGATGTTTTACAGTAGAACACTTTCTACAAATGCAACTCAGACATAAGCTAAAGTACGTGGTGCTGGTGGCTTGGGGAAAACTACCCCCTTATGAAAGTAGTAGATGTGAAATGTTTCCCTCGGTTTTCTCCATACCTTCCTCCTCGCTGGATGTTTTGGGCTGCCCATGGGGCAGGTAGGTGATCTGCACTTTTCGGTTGATCCCGGAAAAGTGGCCATACCTGGAAAAGACAGGAATAGGAAAAAGGGAGGACCATTTGTTATGACTGTCCCAATGTCCAGTCAATCATGCATTGAATAGCCTGGGTGTCAGTCTGTTTCTGCTTCAGCCAACTTGTCATTGTCTAGCTAGCCAAAACGTGCCTGGAAATCAGGGACTACGCAATGATAGTGTTGTCGAATGCAGAACCAGTCAGTCATGCAAAAAAAATGTAAACAGCCTCAACTTTGTTCTGGCTGCTTGTAGATCATGTTTCATCATCATGTTTCATCATCATAAAACTTGCACATTTTAGGAAAAGCATCTAGTTCAAAGGGAACTGATTCACTCTTCCTCAAACAATCTTTCAAATGTCTAAGAGTTACTTTACAGCTTTGTGGATCGCACAGACATGATGTGCTTTGTCCGGTTCATATTTTTCGGCAATCTAGTTCTGATGATTTCGATAGAACTACGACGGCCCAGAAAGTCAAGAAGCCCCAGGTGAGATTGTGTGCCTAATAACAGGTTGGCCTAGTTAAACACGTCACTCACATCTCCAGAACGGTCTTCAGCTGCTCCAGTTTGGATTTCTTCTCTTCGATCTCGCAGTCTTCTCTTCCATCACCCAGTTCTAGCAACAGTTGCCGAGCTATGTCCAGCACCTCCTAACCACACAAAGGAGATGGACAAAATGACTAAGCTTTTAACTGTCTTGTGGTTTAAACAAACAAATGGACAGTTGAAATTAGTTGTGTCAAATGGGATTCCTACACACAGCTTTGGCCCTCTAAACACAGGAATTGATACGTTTGTGATCAAAGAGCGGTGGGGTAGCTAACTAACTGTAAGTAAGTTAATTCTTTCACCCCACATTTTGCCAAGTTAGTTATATCTTACTAAGTACAGATGCAGTCAAATTAAGTGAAAAATCTCAACAACAAAAATATTATTCTTGGTCCTATGCAGTTGTTATTCAAACACACACACACATAAACGCAAAGTTTTCAATTTCAGATGAGAAGAAATGGTGAATCATGTGTGAGTAATTCCCAATATATCTAACCCACATCTGTAAGTAAGTTAACCATAAGTTATTTACAGTTAGTTAGCAATCCCTCCTACACTCTTTTGCTAGCTACCGTAACGTCTCCAAAAATGACGAGGTGGCCACAGTTGTGTTTACATTTTACCAAAATGTGACGTACACTAATCCACTTTCCATGCGTATTGTCCTCCTCCAAGGAGGACATTCTTTTCACAGTCTTGTGGTTAACACAAAACACATGTACAGTTAAAAGTTCAGTAAAATCACCCGTGTCAAATGTGATTCACACAAACATGACAGGAATTGATTTATTAGTTGGCTAAAGTGGGTAAAATAACAAAGATCAACAGTGAAGTATATCCCCTAAACGGCTACATACTATAGAAGAAACAAGAGAGGATATCATTTGTATAATATCAACGTTTCAGTAGAGGCCTTTCTCAAGACTCCAGAGAGAAAGGCCTCTGTGCTGAAACGTTGATATTAAACAGTAAATTCTAAAGCTCTCTTCTCGTGTGGCCTTGGTGGTCGCTCCTTCTATATAGTTACCTGCAGTTGTTTGGGCTTCTTCAGCTTCAATTTCCCTGTCTTGTAACCTCCGTATTTGTCAAACAAATCAAAAAACCTGTTGAGGAGAGATATTGTTTTTATACCAAATTTATAAACAAATAAATAAGAGATCAGATCAAAAGGAGATTGTTTGAGCTAATACACTTATTTTGTATATTTACATTTGAGTTATTTAGCAGATGCTCTTATCCAGAATGACTTACAGGAGCAATTAGGGTTAAGTGCCTTGCTCAAGGGCACATCGACAGATTTTTCATCTAGTTGGCTCGGGGTTCGACCCAGCGACCTTTCGGTTACTGGCCCAATGCTCTTAACAACTAGGCTACCTGACGAGTCGTCATGGAACAGTGGATGTCATGAAGCTTAATGGCTGGTAATTGGTCAGGATTATTATGACACGATTTAAAGACACAATAAAGTTTTTTTTTTTACGCTCATGACTTCCAAGGCATTACACCTAGGCTTTACATGCATGGTTACCAAAGAACTCACATTGGATTCCGCACTTCCATCTTCATCTTCTGCTTAGGAGTTCGGTCTCCGTGGCGGATTATTGCGATGACACAGCGTAACTCCATCCTGATTGGAGGGAATGTGACAGTAAAGGAATATGAGTGAACAATGGCAGATTGGGTAATGACCTTTACCCCATCACTGGCATGTCTAAATAAGCAGAACCTTCACAGTGAAGCCTGTTATCTATGAGACAGCAGTGGTTTTGACATTGTGGCTACAGTAAAGCTGTATGAGTGTACATTTGTCTACCTCAAAGTTTTTGCATCTACAAGTCTGTCTTAGCAAAGTATTTCCGATCATATGCACTAACATACTAGTGTCGGTCTGTGTGTGTGTGTGAGAGAGACTCACATGGTGCCAGACGTGGTGGGAACGATGGGGATGTCCTCAGCCTCAGTAGGGATGGACCAGGGGATCTGGAACTGAGGCGCCAGCTCCCTCATCACTATATTACTGCAGAGGACAAGGAAACATAGTTACCATCATAGAAATACATTCTATTTCTACGGTTAACATACTGTCAACATGGACATTTACCAACATCTGGATCTTCTGACAGATACATAGCTTCCATGTAACTAGTGAGATAATGACAATAGTAAGTAATATAAAGTACAATTTCTTTCCCCTACCAGCACTGACTTTGATGATAGTTACTTTAATGAGGAAAAATGTACTTACTATGACTGAGATATGTGGTTGTCCCACCTAGATATCTTAAGATGAATGCACTAACTGTATGTCGCTCTGGATAAAAGCATCTGCTAAATGACTAAAATGTAGGGTATGAATCCGGTTAGTATTCATACCCTTGATTCAAACCCTTGAAATGATTCAGGATCAGCTGTCCCAAACGAAGCCCTAGGTTACCTTTAATCAGTTTGTGCTGAACTGGACTAGTTGTTATGGGCTTACAGAAGGGGGGTGGCCAATCTTGATACTGGAGGGTGCCAGACAGTATGTGCACGTTTTTGTTACAACCCAGCACTAAACTCAAATAACCAGTCTTCAACAAAGACCACAATTAGTCTAATCAACTACAGCAGGGGTGGAACTGAAGTCTGCAAACTGAAGTCTGCCCCTCTTGGACCAGGAGTCAGAACACTATGCCCCACCTCTTGGACCAGGAGTCAGAACACTATGCCCCACCTCTTGGACCAGGAGTCAGAACACTCTGCCCCACCTCTTGGACCAGGAGTCAGAACACTATGCCCGTCTTGGACCAGGAGTCAGAACACTATGCCCCCCCCCCCTCTTGGACCAGGAGTCAGAACACTATGCCCCCCCCTCTTGGACCAGGAGTCAGAACACTATGCCCCACCTCTTGGACCAGGAGTCAGAACACTATGCCCTCCCTCTTGGACCAGGAGTCAGAACACTATGCCCCCCCTCTTGGACCAGGAGTCAGAACACTATGCCCCCCCTCTTGGACCAGGAGTCAGAACACTATGCCCCACCTCTTGGACCAGGAGTCAGAACACTATGCCCCCCCTCTTGGACCAGGAGTCAGAACTGGCATACCCTGGCATAATGTAACCCTACGAAAATACAATATGACCGAAACAGCCCTCTGGCACATCGTACCCCAGGATCTTGGCACAGTCGTCGTAGTACTTCATGGAGTTCTTGACGAAGCTGAAGCCGTTGACGTCGCAGACGTAGGAGTGACCGTTGGCTCGGAGAAGGTCAAAGCCACACACGGTTTGCTGCAGCAGGAAAAAGAGTGTGAGTCAGATAGGGATGACATGCAGTGTAATTGGGGGTGGCATTATGGAGAATATCAATCAGGGGAAGAGGGGGAAGATTTACTTCTTGAGTTTGTGTTTGTTGATTCTCCTTTATATGACCTTAGTCTTTGACACACACACCCACAGCCGCCGTTCTGTTTTCTCTTGTCACTTCACTTATCAAAGTGATCGATCAGCTTGATTGTGCACTCAACAGCCTGCCTGGAGCTACAGTGAGTCAGACCTGGGTTCAAATAGTTTAAGTGCTTGCTTTAGCCTGCCTGGGGTGCTAGGTGGGTGGGGTTTCTACTTTTGGGACTTTTCTATTGTTTCCATTGCAACAGGCAAGCACAATCAAGCACAGCTAGGGTATCTAAAATAGTATTTGAACCCAGGTCTGCACTGTGTACCGGCTCATCAAATAGAAGAGAGGAAAATCAATGACCAATTCCAAATCGACCCGTAGCCCCTACCCAGAGGCACCTGGTGTAGATTTTATCCAGAGCAGCAAACAGTTCACACCTATCGGCTATTCGGTAAAATGTGGGAATCGAACCCACAACCTTGGTGTTACCAGCACCATGCTGCAACCAACTGAGGCATAACTGACCTTGAATGCCAGGCAGACCTTGCGGGCCACCAGTTTCTCCATGGCGGTGAGCATGACGGGGTAGCGGATCTCCTTCCCCTCGCTGTCTCTCTCCACCTTCCCGTCCAGGGCAGGAGACTTCCGGGCCTCAGCGTGGGCATAGTCAGGCCCCACCGTATACACCTGAGGACACACACACACGGAGAGATTTAATACACCACGAGGTGCAGGGACACAGGCAACACACACACACAAGATAAACACACATGTGGGTGTCTGTGCACTCACATAAGACACACACAAACAAACATGCATAGATACAGACAGATAAACAGAAATACAGACAGACTGACAAACACACACACACACCTTAACGTCCGTGCCATCCGTTGGCATGAACTCTTCGTAGATGTAGGAGCCAGTCTTCCTCACGTTGCTCTCTGGTGAGTACACACTGCTCCGGCTCCCGATCTACAGGACAGAGAGGCAACAGCGTTAGAACTGAGAGAACTATGTACTAACTCTCTACTGTTCTCTACAGCAGTGCTTCCCAAACTCCTTTAGCTCTGTGATCAACCGAAAGTTGTTGGTGTGAACCACCAACTAAACAACAGACCAATCGTTCTACAACTCAGAATAAAACCATGCACCAGTAGATGCCCAGTGGACTAAACACTTGGGAAACACTGCTCTTCAAATGATAGGATTACATTAGGACTGACTGAACGTCCACCATCCTACTCAACTGTAACCAGAGTCAAAGAGACTAGGGTTCATTCATAGGTACACAGTATGCAGTGTTGAACATAGCTTATGATCCATTCCATTTAAGAGGAAGAACGGTTGTTGCATGAACACTTACAGCAGCTTACTGCAGTCGACTGGGATTGAGAGGGATGCTAATAACGCTTGTGATAAAATCAGCTATTGGGATCGAATGGTTATAAAACCTGACAAAAAAATACATCGGCCCATTTTATGACAGGTTAAAAACAGTCCCGAAAGCCCTCTGAGAACATGAGGTAAGATCACACTGAATAAACAGACTAGGAGGCAACTAGAATTTCAATGAGCTGTTGAATATTTGGAGGACCATATATTAATATTGTAGGGTGAAGTTGCCCCTAGACGCTGATATTGGATCAGTTTTGCATTTCTCCCACTAATGGTTACGGTTAGGATTGGGAGAGGGGGAAGTTGATCCTAGATCTGTACCTAGATGATGTTTCACCTCAGAGCCTGTTAATAGAGCAGGAGGTAGGCCTAGCGGTTGTCATAATCAGGCAACTGGTGTGTACAGTTAACCACATACATATAGAATATGGAACATATAGGGCCAATTTCCCAAACACAGATGAAGCCTAGTCCTGGGGTCAATTCATTAGTTGCACACCGTAGCAAAACATTTTGGATAACGTTTTGAAACGAAAACGAGAGGTTGGTCTCTCCCAGTTTCGTTCCATTCGCGTCTGTTTGGTTCCTAGTGAATACATGCTTGGATTAAAAAGTGCTTGCTTTTTAGGCCAGGACTAGGCTTAATCTGTATCTGGGAAACTGCCCGATAAAATATAGCTAGATATAGAAAACATAATAGTTGACTGAAAGTATCACAGTTCAGACAGTATTTATACAACTGTGAGGGCCAGGTTACTACATGTTAAGCCCTTTATCTACCGCCCCAGAGTCAGATGAACTCATGGATACCATTTTTATGTCTCTACATCCAGTATGAAGGAAGTTAGAGAGTTTTGCGACCCAACGCTAACCCCCTAGCATGCTGGCAGTTACCATAGACTTCCAGTCATTGCGCTAACTCTTGTTAGCAATTTCCTTCAAACTGCACGCAGAGACATCAATTTTTTTTATCCACGAGTTCATCTGACTCTAGGGAACTAGATAAAGGGCTTCATTGCCAAAATCTTGAAGTCTCCCTTTAAGAATGTTATGACTAAAGACACAAAAAACTAATCTTAAGATCTTATCCTCATCTTTCCTTTACCTTTAGTTATATCATCTAGGTGTTATACCGTCTTGGCAGTAGCATAGCAGGTGTTAAGTCTAAAGTATCCGGACCATCTGTCAGATCAGAAACTAACAGGTTCCTTTTCTTTGTTTGAGAACACTGCTGTAGTATAGTCATGGTTGTTCTCCTCCCTCTGTCAGAACAGGAGGTCTACATCCCAAATGGCACCCTGCTCCCCTATGTAGTGTACTACAGGGGCCCATAGGGCTCTGGTCATAAGCATCGCACTATATAGGGCATAGGGTGCCATTTGGGACGCAACCTAGATAAAAAGTAGGCTGTGTCTACACTTGACAGTTCATGCAGCTTTTGTATTCTGATCATAGAGTTCTGATCATGGAATGCTACACCTACATTTAAATGTGTCTACTGTGTCCACATTGCGTCTGGATTGCCCTTTCCCGCGCTATATTCAAATGCGTGTATGCATTCTTCAAACGGTGGAACAGGCTAAATCTTATAACAACACAACAACAACTGGATGGCAGTAGCCAACTACTGTAGCTAACCTCTAACTAACCAGCAAGCAAAGTTAAAAGGATTGCAAAGAGGTTAGCATAACTCTATCCAAACCCAAAATATGTTTTCTAAATAAGCCAGCCTTTAAGAAGCCAGCAAACAAGTTCCTCACACGCTAAGAACGCAATTCCTCCAACGTTTAATGAAAAAAAGTTGCCTCTCGCTCCCAAAACACACCATTTCTGGAGACCTGTGGGTGGACTGACGTCGCCCACTGTATGCGCTTTCGGTAGCCTGATTGCATCCAGACTGAGGAGAAATCCACACACAATGCATCCCTGACCAACTCCTGAAGAGGGTCAGCCAGATCTGAACACAATCTGACCACACAACCACCTGTCTTTTCAATGCGATCCTCATAATCTGATAGCAGAAGTTGCATGTCAAGTGTCAAATTTAAACACAGCCCTAATGTCATCGTGTTCTTGCCTTGTTGACGAGCCCAGCCAGAGTGAGTGCCTGGTGTAACTTCACCTTCTATTTCAGTACCCTTAATGTGCTTTAGAATAAGTGCCATTATGGCTATGAGGACGCTGAGGGAGAAAGAAGCCTGGTCAAAAAGCTACCCCACGGCCCTTCCCATGTGGGTTAGACAGAGCAACGGATTGGGGTCATTCTTTAAGGTGTTACGGATCAAAATGTGACCTTTCTGAAGAGGCGCTGGCTTCCCCCTCCCGCTGAGGTGGGGTAGTAGATGTAGACGTTGTGGTCTTCAGCACAGACGGGTTTCTCCACGAAGGGTTTAGGGAACACCTCCCCATTCACCTCCACATGGTCTTCTCCCTCTACCAGGTTACACTCTGGGGAAGACACAAATACAGGGTTGTATTTAGTAGTGTACACCGGAGCAAAATGTTATGCAACAGAAAACGTTTTACAGCAAAACGTAGTTTCTTATTGGACAAGTTCAGGTTGGCCCTTTTCGCGTCGGCCCATTTTCTTCCGTTTGGTTTGTAGTGAATACGAACCAGGTACATTGTCAGTTCATCGTCAGTTTATCGTCATATTCAGACAATGGTCAGCCCTTTCAACAGTAAATAGTAACAGTATGATTCAACCAGTTGAACCTGTACATTACATAGAGTCCCTGTTTCAAAAACGGACAATTACGTCTTATAATACCTTTGACAGTCCGTACAACCCTGCCCTCATTCACTGAGCAGTGTTGTTTTATCAACATTCTCAAAGTATCATGGCAAGCAAACTAAATATTTGGCAGACTGAATTCCCTGAGGAAATCCTAATGTTAGAAACAAACAGCCGGTCACCCAGAGTCACGCATTTACTCTTCAAGCTACAGCACACAGTATTTTACATAAAGCAGGTTCTTAAAGGACCATTGAGTTGAGTCTGCTTCGGGTTCTTTTTTTGCCATTGAAATTCAAGTATCATGATACTGCATCATGAAAACACTAACTGACAGCTTAACCTTCACTAAGAAAGGGTTGTAACATTTTAGAAGCATTAGACCACAACCTTGATACTGTTTGACATCTAAGTTTGAACATTAGACTATTTTGATGTAACATCTACTGTCCCTACTAGCATGACTTCTAAACTGTAAATTGAGGTCGCTATTCTACGGACATTACACCCATCAGGGATGAGGAAGACATAACCCATTTAGTGAACTCTACCTTGCGGGATTGTGTTCAACCAGAGATATTAAAAGGGAAAATGGATGGCCTCCAAGTCACGTCACCGCACTCAGATATATCACAGTATGCTCAGACCCTAAGACACACTCACTCAGTCACTCACAACTGCTCCTCATTAACTGCTATATTTACCACAGGGTAAACCAAGTCAGCGTCGCAAATGGCACCCTATTCCCTATACAGTGCACTACTTTTGACCAGAGCCCATAGGGATGAAGGGAATAGGGTGCCATTTGGGACGCAAGCCAATACTGCCTTGGATTGACTGCCTTGGGAGGATGTCGGAAAAAGGCTTGAGAAGTCTGTCTGGCGTTTGTTTATACCCAGAACAGGGAAAAACCGAGACCTCACTGGAAAGTGGTTTTATTGTTTCTCTGACTATAACCAGGTTTCCATCCAACCTTCTATAAGAGTAAAGAACACGTCGGATAAAATATGTCACCACAGGCCTGATGGAAACGGCTTATTTGTTGGTACATTTTTCAAATGTCGACAAAACAAGATTCGCTAGACAAAGTAGGATATTTGTGTGTCTGTAAAATGTATTATGCGAGAAATGGCAGTGGAAACACCTTTATGCGCAAATATATAATAACCATCATATCAAAGTAAACTTGGAGTCACACGATGATATGTTATGTGGTCCTCCCGCTACGACTAGGGAAAGCATGCAGTTTATTAGGCTACAGATGAAATAAGTTATGATGACCTTCACTGGGTGGTGAAAGTGCACGGTGATGAGCTTAATGCTCCTTTCCAATAAATATCGAGGGTCTTATTCTGGTGACATATTGATCGATGCTTGGCTGCCGTTTGACAAACGTTCAGAATAGGAATGGCATCATGTAGGTAGCCAACCCGCACTGTATCTGTAAGCTGTTGGCTAGAGCGTACGTGCAAAGTCCAGAGCGGGCACATTCGCTATATAATGTAATTTATTTTGTGACAAAGCGATCAGAAAATGGAAACCCATTTACTTGTATTTTTTTATTCGATACATGGGAATTTAACTGCAAAAGTTGTTTTTATGTGCACTACGTCATAAGGCACAGCTTTCTATCTGCAACAAGTACATTGGTGGGAAAACATGCATATTGTTTTTATGCAGATTGTAGAATATTCACATGAAAATCCGTCGCCAATTGGATGGAAACCTAGCATATAATCACATCTGAGCTAGGTTGAATAGGGGAACGTTGCAGAAATATATTTCAGAAATAGAGCTTACGTGATTCCTTATTCTACATGTCAGAGAGGCATGTTTGTTCAATGTGATATACAGTGGGGAGAACAAGTATTTGATACACTGCCGATTTTGCAGGTTTTCCTATTTACAAAGCATGTAGAGGTCTGTAATTTTTATCATAGGTACACTTCAACTGTGAGAGACGGAATCTAAAACAAAAATCCAGAAAATCATATTGTATGATTTTTAAGTAATTAATTTGCATTTTATTGCATGACATAAGTATTTGATACATCAGAAAAGCAGAACTTAATATTTGGTACAGAAACCTTTGTTTGCAATTACAGAGATCATATGTTTCCTGTAGGTCTTGACAAGGTTTGCACACACTGCAGCAGGGATTTTGACCCACTCCTCCATACAGACCTTCTCCGGATCCTTCAGGTTTTGGGGCTGTAGCTGGGCAATATGGACTTTCAGCTCCCTCCAAAGATTTTCTATTGGGTTCAGGTCTGGAGACTGGCTAGGCCACTCCAGGACCTTGAGATGCTTCTTACGGAGCCACTCCTTAGTTGCCCTGGCTGTGTGTTTCGGGTCATTGTCATGCTGGAAGACCCAGCCACGACCCATCTTCAATGCTCTTACTGAGGGAAGGAGGTTGTTGGCCAAGATCTCACGATACATGGCCCCATCCATCCTCCCCTCAATATGGTGCAGTCGTCCTGTCCCCTTTGTATAAAAGCATCCCCAAAGAATGATGTTTCCACCTCCATGCTTCACGGTTGGGATGGTGTTCTTGGGGTTGTACTCATCCTTCTTCTTCCTCCAAACACAACGAGTGGAGTTTAGACCAAAAAGCTCTATTGTTGTCTCATCAGACCACATGACCTTTTCCCATTCCTCCTCTGGATCATCCAGATGGTCATTGGCAAACTTCAGACGGGCCTGGACATGCGCTGGCTTGAGCAGGGGGACCTTGCGTGCGCTGCAGGATTTTAATCCATGACGGCGTAGTGTGTTACTAATGGTTTTCTTTGAGACTGTGGTCCCAGCTCTCTTCAGGTCATTGACCAGGTCCTGCCGTGTAGTTCTGGGCTGATCCCTCAACTTCCTCATGATCATTGATGCCCCACGAGGTGAGATCTTGCATGGAGCCCCAGACCGAGAGTGATTGACCGTCATCTTGAACTTCTTCCATTTTCTAATAATTGCGCCAACCGTTGTTGCCTTTTCACCAAGCTGCTTGCCTATTGTCCTGTAGCCCATCCCAGCCTTGTGCAGGTCTACCATTTTATCCCTGATGTCCTTACACAGCTCTCTGGTCTTGGCCATTGTGGAGAGGTTGGAGTCTGTTTGATTGAGTGTGTGGACAGGTGTCTTTTATACAGGTAACGAGTTCAAACAGGTGCAGTTAATACAGGTAATGAGTGGAGAACAGGAGGGCTTCTTAAAGAAAAACTAACAGGTCTGTGAGAGCCGGAATTCTTACTGGTTGGTAGGTGATCAAATACTTATGTCATGCAATAAAATGCAAATTAATTACTTAAATATCATACAATGTGATTTTCTGGATTTTTGTTTTAGATTCCATCTCTCACAGTTGAAGTGTACCTATGATAAAAATTACAGACCTCTACATGCTTTGTAAGTAGGAAAACCTGCAAAATCGGCAGTGTATCAAATACTTGTTCTCCCCACTGTATAGTAGAAGTTCCTGAGGAGAATACAACACTATGTAAGTAGTGAGCAATACTCCCTGCCTAAGAAGCACAGGGGTCAATACACACTGCCTAAGAAACACAGGGGTCAATACTCCCTGCCTAAGAAGCACAGGGGTCAATACACACTGCCTAAGAAGCACAGGGGTCAATACTCCCTGCCTAAGAAACACAGGGGTCAATACTCCCTGCCTAAGAAGCACAGGGGTCAATACACACTGCCTAAGAAGCACAGGGGTCAATACTCCCTGCCTAAGAAGCACAGGGGTCAATACTCCCTGCCTAAGAAGCACAGGGGTCAATACACACTGCCTAAGAAACACAGGGGTCAATACTCCCTGCCTAAGAAGCACAGGGGTCAATACACACTGCCTAAGAAGCACAGGGGTCAATACACACTGCCTAAGAAGCACAGGGGTCAATACTCCCTGCCTAAGAAACACAGGGGTCAATACTCCCTGCCTAAGAAGCACAGGGGTCAATACTCCTTGCCTAAGAAGCACAGGGGTCAGACGCACAGGGGTCAAGTCTGGGAGCATCAAAACAGTGAGTCAATGGGCCAGCATCCCTGTGGAACGCTTTCGACACCTTGTAGAGTCCATGGCTCGACAAATGAGGCTGTTCTGAGGGCAAAAGGTGTGTGTGTGGGGGGGGGGGGGGGGTCAACTCAATATAAGGAAGGTGTTCTTAATGTTTTATACACTCAGTGTATGCATTTCTATCATAACGTTCTACAACATTGTGCCCTGCTGAACACGCCCAGTTGTCTTGGAACCTAATGACTGATTCCCACTATAGGGCTGATAAGAACTGTACTGGCTCAGTTCTTTTCTTTTCACATTGTCCTTTCTAACACAGTTCCAGCAAATGCGGTGGATGGATAACCAGGCCACTCCAGTACAGCTTGGCTTGGCTCAGTAATGTGAAAAGGATACAAGTGAGTGATTTGACTGGGGTTTAAGAGTGACCAGAAAGGCATAGGACCAGTAGAGGCGACAGGGACAGAATATTGACCATTCCTAATGGGAACGCCAACGCATGACCTTTGGGGAGCGCACACTGACCGTCTGGTTTATCTGGGTCGCGGTTCAGCACAGCGTAGCGGGGTAGATCGATGCCTTCCTGCTGCAGGATACGATACACCTCCCTCCTACAAAACAGACAACACACAACATTCAGCATTCAACAGAGAGATAGTCAGCCATCTCACTTAACGTCAACGCTGTATATCTAAGATCGCACAAATCACCATGTGACACCAGTGCCACCAATGCTGGTCACACACCACCACCAGTAATTCTTGAATTTATAATAACAATACAACATCATACGGTCATGACTTCATCAATATAAAACACATCAACTGTCCTTATTCCACATAAGCCCTCCAGAATAGCCCAGTATTAACCATGAGGCTCTGTGATAACTACACACATCTATACAGTATGATAGGGTTGTCACGATACATGGCAAATATGGCAAATATTCTGTCCTATTGCTTGGATAATAAACACGTGGCTCTGGGTGATAGAATAAGTCTGTTTGTTTCCAACATCAGGACCGTTTTCCTCATGAAATGAAGTTTGCTTCTTGTTTTATTAGCTCGCCATGATACTGTTGTCATGACAACCCTACAGTATGCATCTCCGGCGCTGGTTGTACCTGTCCTGTATGTAGTACTGTGTGTTCAGGTCATTGATGAGCAGCGGGTTTCGGAGTTTGGCGTAGCTCACAGCCTTGTCCAGCGGGAATCCTACAAATTCAAATGCAATAACAATTGTTAGCCAATCCTATACGCAGACTACGCAGTATGTGCAAACTTTGCCAGGGTCAAGAATGGGACACATTAATGAAGTAGGACAAGTGAAAGTAATTTAAATTAATGCAGTCCAGTGGGCAAACATTGCTCAACTGGGTTTCTCTTCAACATTTTGTCAAAAAAATGGTAGCAAATGTAGTCACCTATTAGTCTAAACAGGCTGTTGTTGTGTCAGACAGAATTACTCATGCTGGGTTGAAGAGGAGTAATGCTGTCACAGTGTGGTACGAGAAAGGGCTGTCTTTTGTGTGTGTGTGTGTGTGTGTGTGAGAGAGATGTAGTAGCATGTGACTGTTTAAATACAGTACCAGTCAAAAATGTGGACACACCTACTCATTCCAGGGTTTTTCTTTATTTTTACATTGTAGAATAATAGTGAAGACATCAAAACTATGAAATAACACATATGGAATCATGTAGTAACCAAATAAGTGTTAAACAAATCAAAATGTATTTTATATGAGATTTTTCAAATAGCCACCCCTTGCCTTGATGACAACTTTGCACACTCTTGGCATTCTCTCAACCAGCTTCATGAGGTAGTCACCTGGAATGCATTTCAATTAACAGGTGTGCTTTCTTAAAAGTTAATTTGTGGAATTTCTTTCCTTCTTAATGCGTTTGAGCCAATCAGTTGTGTTGTGACAAGGTAGGGGGGTATACAGAAGATAGCCCTATTTAGTAAAATACCAAGTCCATATTATGGCAAGAACAGCTCAAATAAGCAAAGAGAAACGACAGTCCATTATTACTTTAAGACATGAAGGTCAGTTAATACGGAACATTTCAAGAACTTTGAAAGTTTCTTCAAGTGCAGTCGCAAAAACCATCAAGCGCTATGATGAAACTGGCTCTCATGAGGACCGCAACAGGAATGGAAGACCCACAGTTACCTCTGCTGCAGAGGATAAGTTCATTAGAGTTACCAGCCTCAGAAATTGCAGCCCAAATAAATGCTTCACAGAGTTCAAAGTAACAGACACATCTCAACATCAACTGTTCAGAGGGGACTGTGTGAATCAGGCCTTCATGGTCGAATTTCTGCAAAGAAACCACTACTAAAGGACACCAATAAGAAGAAGAGACCTGCTTGGGCCAAGAAACACGAGTAATTGACATTAGACCGGTGGAAATTTGTCCTTTGGTCTGGAGTCCAAATTGGAGATTTTTGGTTCCAACCGCCGTGTCTTTGTGAGACGCGGTGTTGGTAATCGGATAATCTCTGCATGTGTAGTTCCCACAGTAAAACATGGAGGAGGTGTGATGGTGTGGGGGTACTTTGCTGGTGACACTGTGTGTGATTTATTTAGAATTCAAGGCACATTCAAGGCATTCTGCAGCGATACGCCATCCCATCTGGTTTGGGCTTATTGGGACTATCATTTGTTTTTCAACATGACAATGACTCAACACACCTCCAGGCTGTGTAAGGGCTATTTGACCAAGAAGGAGAGTGATGGAGTGCTGCATCAGATGACCTGGCCTCCACAATCCCACGACCTCAACACAATTGAGATGGTTTGGGATGAGTCGGACCGCAGAGTGAAGGAAAAGCAGCCAAAAAGTGCTCAGCATATGTGGGAAATCCTTCAAGACTGTTGGAAAAGCATTTCAGGTGAAGCTGGTTGAGAGAATGCCAAGAGTGTGCAAAGCTGTCATAAAGGCAAAGGCTGGCTATCTGAAGAATCTCAAATATAAAATATATTTGGATTTGTTTAACACTTTTTTGGTTACTACATGATTCCATATGTGTTTTTCATAGCTGTGATGTCTTCACTATTATTCTACAATGTAGAAAATAGTGAAAATAAAGAAAAACCCTTGAATTAGTAGGTGTGTCCAAAGTTTTGACTGGTACTATATGTGTAATCACTTTTTTGAGTATAGAATAATGGGTGTGGTAAATTAAGTTGAATACAGTGCTTTCATCAGTGAACAGAGTTGGTGTGTGTGTCTGTGTGTTCCACCTTTGGAGTGGAAGGAGACGAGGCAGTCACACAGCGGCCATTTGTCCACGGGCTCGTTAAGAATGACGTCCTCGGGGAAGATGACCACAGTGATGTACTCAAACCTGCACAGCCGCTCCAGGATCTGGGTCATGGGCTTAGACTTGGACTTCTTCATCATGGAACAGATCCCCACCACGATCTGTCGCTCCGGGGGCTGAGAGGGAGGGAGGGAGGGAGATCACTTTAATAAGTTAGGCTACTTTATCTATTGCCGACACAGTCTTGTGTAGCTTTACAATTAGTCAACCGACTGGAAAAACTGACAGTTGTCACAAAAGTGCTTTACAGTTGAATAGTCTCATGTCTTCCATGATATTGTGCTGTGGAATTATCCCTAATATCTGTAGCCTCCATTGTGATGGTATCTAATAGTAATGGAGGTTACCATATCAGGGCTAGTTGTCTAATGTACTTTCATGCGGGTGATTCATATGACATCATGAGGCCTGATGTAATCTTGTGTTGTCTCGTCTCAAGCGGTCTCACCGAGTCTGCGTCCTCGTCGTCCTCGTACAGCTCCATGTCTGTCCTCATGCTACAGCCGTCGTAGTCCTCCAGGCCCTCGCTCTCATCGTCCTCGCAGCCCACGAAGAATCTGGGAGCGCCGCGCTGGCTCTCGCCCGGGCTGGCGGGCTCTGACATCACAGTCCTCGGCGGCAGCCCTCAGCGTCCCGCCGCGCCATCGCACACCAACACACCGCCGCCGATGGGGGCGCACGGGGCCTAGGAGCTGATCGGGTGGTGACTCTCCAGTGACGAGGAGGGCTAAGCTGCTCTGTGGGGTGGGTTGGGTTGGGAGGGGGTTGGGGTTTGGGTGAGGAAGGGAAGGAAGGGGATACAAGAGCTGGTCCTGGGGAAGGGGGCAGGTGTTCAGGGTTAAGTTGTTATGGGTGTGTGACAGACTATGCTAGTAGTAGTGGTGGTGGTGTTGTTTCTGGGGTGAGGTTGCTGAGGCCTCATTCTTTATTCAGCGGTTAAAGATCTCATGTTTCTGGCCTGGCCTGGGGCTGGACTCCTTGGGTGGCCTCAGGGCTAGTAGGGGTAGATCCAACTATAATGGGATCACAGCCCATTCCTCTATGCTTGTCCAAGATCGACAGAGTCCTAGAAAGGAAACAAACACAGAGATTATAGAGGATATTCAATAGCCCATAGGATTCCCAACAGCCTTCATTGCATCCATGTTACGACGGGTGGCCTAGAGGCCCAGTTCCATACTGATATTTGCTCTATAAAACTGGACACCGCGTCCGACGCCCCTGAGTGTGACCAAGCTCATCTGTTAGAGCACACAGCCGTGGCGTGAGGGAGCGTTGATTCCCCCCCCCCAAAGACTAAATGTTACACCGTCTGCCCTGACATCAGCAAAACACTGCAATCAGGGGTTGGAAAACCTCAGGAAGCACACGTCTGTTGTATGTGTTGTGTGGAAGACTTTACATCAGCGCTGAACTGTGGTCGCAGGTTGGTGACCCGTGACAGAGCAGCACTGGCCTACATCACAGATCACTATGCTCTCGGTTAGCTGTTACCACTCATTACAACCTGCCATGTCATACATATCGAGCCAGTGGTTTCCCATGAGGAGAGCTGTTATTCACGGACGGTTGCTAACATTCTGTGCCTGGATGAGTATTATAGAATAGCCTAGGCAGGCTACTTTAAAAAATGTTACTGCACAAAAGTATCTTACATGCCTGGACATGTCAACAAAAAAGCTAGGGAAGAAAATGAAGAAGCCTAAAACGTGATTAACTACAATATAGGCACTAGGTAGAGGAGGAACTGCAGAGGAGAGTGTAGAACCAGTCAAGTCCAACTATTCTACCTACTTGAACAATGCTGCTTTAAATTCACATCATAGAGAGGCAGAAATGTCAACACAAAATCCTGTACTTGCCAACACTTACTAAATGAAAGCTAGGCACAAACAGAACACTGCTGTTTGATATCTTCCCCCAGCTCCCATACAAAGCTCAATTCTGCTTAGGGTGTGAAAGTAGCTAACGTCCATGATACAGTAGTTAAAAACATTAGCCATCATTACTAATGGTAGGCTAGATAGCATTCCAGTGATTATTATCCTAGTCACTATAGGGCTGTAGTACAAAGCTCAAAGGACATTTTAGGCTATCCATGTGAGTAATGGCACAGTTAGGCATTCAACAGCAGGGTACGTATAGACTACAATACATCTCATATCCAATTCTAACCACCCACCACATATATGTTTGAGTTTTGGTCATTTCAACAGAGGTCATTCAAAAATAGCTTAACCATATAGGCCCAGGCTAGAATCTAACAGAAAAATCCTAATGAGAGTTGATTCACCTTCACAAATCCATCTATCTGCAAAACAATGTAAGCCAGTCAAGCTGAGAGGGGGAGGTACCTTTAGAATTATTTATTTCTATTAATGATCTCTCACTAGCACACACCAGTCTTGATCTGTCAACCATGGAGGACTGTCAGTAACATACATGGCATCAAATAGTATTAGATTAAAACCTGGGTAAACATAAGGAAAATCCCTTTTACGTCTTGGCACGCAGTTTATTTAAAGTAAACTCTTTCCATGGTTAATTTAAGGGGATTACACAGGGCTTTGGATCTGGAGTTTAACTCCATTACACCTGTTCCCTCAGCGCTCCAGGGGCAGCATAAGGTGAGAGCTATTAGTTTCTCTTGGGCCATTAGGCTACACTGGCTAACAGTAACATTCATATCAGACACTGACAAATAGGATTCATGTATTTCTGCGTCGAATGAATGGACAGCTAGATGCTATCCAATACAGTGGAAATGATATGAAAAAGAATATCTGCTAATTCAGTTTTTACTTGTTCTATATCAATGTCAGGTAACCAAAGCACGTACCAATTCACTAGCTAAATATAAAAATAATCTCTAATGTTGCCGAGTAGATGGCTGCACAGTGAACACCAGCCCTATAAATAGTAGGCCAAATTCTAGCCCAAGATGTACTCTTAAGGAGCCTATCGTTACATTACTCCTACAGGTCCAAGGACCTTATATGTTATTTTCAGAGGTAGAATGGCTCTGGCAGCCAAAACACCCAAAGGCTCCATCTAAACGTAAATCGATTCTCTATTGCGATACGGTTGTAGAAACACAAAGCCCTTTACTTTCATATCACATCAAAATAACTCCAAAAAAAATGCAAAATACACACTTACTGTACACTGTTTTAACCGGCTATATCACAGTCGCAGCAGACAGTATTTTTCAGTGACAACACGTTTCTAGCAGCCTTCTTCGTTACACACAGGTGTTTGGAGCATGCTAGATCGCTAATTAGCACAGATGGTCCCTCTGTCTTCCGTAAATACATGCTGTAATATGGTGATATGTCCATGTGGGAACACTAACCCTAACCCTATAAAAAGGTGTGTATCAATTTAACGTTTCGTTTTTAGAAAACTGTTTCTTGCTAATATGAAAGTGAAGATATGCTTCAAAAACCGTACTGCAAGCGATGCGTGGTCATGTTCAGACAGAGTAGGGGCTCTTAACAAAACTCCCCATACAGAAGGGTCTTCGTCCAATGACTTGTGTAATGTAATGGAACTGAGAGTGATGATCAAGGGCTAGCCAAATTCATCATAATAAAACATTTACATATGGTATTTTCTTAATGAATTAATGTTGATTAAAACATAAATAAAAATGATAATATCCAAATGTATATGTTTGTTAATGAATTTGGCGTACTATTTATAGGGCTAAGTGAACACGCACAATTCCATCCTGCATTGACTTGAGGTGAACCGAGTAGTCGTGAACAGACCAGTCCAGCGGTAATTCATCAAATCAATATTATACACTATATATACAAAAGTATGCGGACAACCCTTCAAATTAGTTGATTCGGCCATTTCAGCCGCACCCATTGCTGACAGGTGTATAAAATCGAGCAAAGACATGCAATCTGCATAGACAAACATTGGCAGTAGAATGGCCTTACTGAAGAGCTCAGTGACTTTCAACATGGCACCGTCATAGGATGCCACCTTTCCAACAAGTAGGTTAGTCTAATTTCTGCCCTGCTAGAGCTGCCCCGGTCGACTGTAAGTGCTGTTATTGTGAAGTGGAAACATCTAGGAAAAACAACGGCTCAGCCACGAAGTGGTAGGCCACACAAACTCACAGAACGGGACCACAAGTGCTGAAGCGCATAGAAATCGTCTGTCCTCAGTTGCAACACTCACTACCGAGTTCGAAACTGCCTCTGGAAGCAACGTCAGCACAATAACTGTTCATCAGGAGGTTAATGAAATAGGTTTCCATGGCCGAGCAGCCACACACAAGCCTAAGATCACCATGCGCAATGCCAAGCGTTGGCTGGAGTGGTGTAAAGCTCGCCACCATTGGACTCTGGAGCAGCGTAAACGCGTTCTCTGGAGTGATGAATCACGCTTCACCGTCTGGCAGTCCGATGGACAAATCTGGACGGAGAATCTGGGTTTGGTGGATGCCAGGAGAATGCTACCTGCGTTCTGGAGCTGTTTTTCATGTTTCGGGCTAGGCCCCTTAGTTCCAGTGAAGGGAAATGTTAATGCTACAGCATACAATTACATTCTAAGCGATTTTGTGCTTCCAACTTTGTGGGGAACAGTTTGGGGAAGGCACTTTCCTGTTTCAGCAGGACAATGCCCCCGTGCACAAAGCGAGGTCTATACAGAAATGGTTTGTTGAGATCGGTGTGGAAGAACTTCACTGGCCTGCACAGAGCCCTGACCTCAACCTCATCAAACACCTTTGGGTTTAATTGGAATGCAGAGCCAGGCCTAATTGCTCAATATCAGTGCCCGACCTCACTAATGCTCGTGGCTAAATAGAAGCAAGTCCCTGCAGCAATGTTCCAACATGTAGTGGAAAGCCTTCCCAGAAGAGTGGAGGCTGTTATAGCAGCAAAGGGAGAACCAGCTCCATATTAATGCCCATGATTTTGGAATGAGATGTTAGAAGAGCAGGTGTCCATACTTTTGGTCATGTAGTGTATCGAGATGTTGATTATCCTATTCTTTATAAAGCCCTGATATGTCGTGTCAACAACATGAGTGTTGCACGTCAGCCCTCGTCCACAGGACAAGGAGAGGAGACTCACATTGTTGTCGGCATCAAAACCATGATCATAACTGGCTAGTGAATAAATCAGCAAGCTAGGTTAGCTAGCTATGTAGCTAGCTAGTTTATCCTAAGACCTCGAATAAGAATATAGTTAGTTAGCTTAAATAACAAATCAATAATAAGCAATACAATTAACATTATTGGCGTCATAGCTAGCTATGTTTCCATACCCGGCTGTAACGTTACTAACAAACAACGCTACTAGCTAGCTATGTAAACAAGTCTATTCGTGAAAAAAAATTTTTTTACCAAATGCACCCCATGATTCAGCTAGCTAATACTCACTATATCAGAAATATAACTGTACATGATAATTAAGCAACCAGTTACTTACGAAGTGGCTAGATAACGTTGTTAACGTCTCTTCGCTTCTTTCCCCCTTGACAGCTTGCAAGTGCTACCACATTTGCTTTTCCTTCATCTTCTTCGATTAGGTTTAACGGCGGTTGGCATCCAATTAATGTTGCATTACCGCCACCTACTAGACTGGA